TAGCATTTATGATTCTATTAAAAATAACTCTCCATTTGAAGAAAAAATTGAATCGATCTTTGATGTTGGAGAAGCACAAAATCATCCACCGTTCATCAAACCTCCCGAACATAAGTTGGAACCACCTAAAATTGAGGTGGTAACAAAAATAAAGGCCCGGCCTTACTGGGGAAGGCCGAAGAAGAAAAATGAAACTCGGCCTAAAAAGATTTTTGAAAATAAAGGGGATGTTCATGATCCCACATAAACCAAAAGAAAATGATAAACGTCGTGCCGCGACGTAAAATTAGGCGCTTCTTGGGAGGCAACCCAAGCAATTTATGTTTCCGTATTATTTTATTTCAGTAGTGTGTGTAAAAAAAACAAAAAAAAGAGAAAAAGAGTGTATCTGGAGGCATACCTGCTCGAGTATGTAAATGTACTCGGTCGAGTATGGATAAAAAAAAAGAGGAACCGATTTCAGTACTCGATCGAAACAACAAAGCTTTTCAGAAATGCAAGCATACTCGATCGAGTATAATTCAATACTCGGTCGAGTATGTACAGAAAGACGAAATCAAAGGGAGCCTGTCTCTGAGGCCCGATCGAGTATCCAACTATACTCGGTCGAGTATGTCTGGAAAATCAACCCTACCAGACCCTGTCTTGAAGGCCCGATCGAGTATTAAGCCATATTTGATCGGGTATTACTGGAAAACTTCATACTCGAACCCCTGTGTTGAGTACCCGATCGGGTATACCTACGACTTAACCCCAAAACACACCCCAAAACACTTCATCTTCTCCAAACACCCATACCAACCTCGACCCCTTCTCTCCAAAACTCCATTTTTCTACCTTCTCTCTACCATATCTCCATCATTTCCCCACCAAAACACCCACAACCCACCAAAAATCAAAATCACCTTACTCCACAAACAACAAAAGCCGAAATTGGGCACTAGGGACAGTGCTTGAACTAAGTGTGGCGGAGGAGACTCATCATGAGTATGTAATCTTATTTTCTACCTTTTACTATGCATGAACTTCTTTAAAAAAAAATTGAAGAAAAGAAATGCTAGTTAGGTTGAAAACCCAACAAAATGGGCAATCTAAGCAAAAAAAGGCTTGTAAAAATGAGTGAGTTGGGGAGTATGGAAAAATGAAAAGAGATGCTAGGATGAAAACCTGAAAAGGCTCCTAGGCAAAATGAGAGATATGAGAGAAATATGTGTTTTTGCAGGCACTCATTTCATCTCTTAGGAGAGGAAGAAGAGAAGAAAAAGAAGAAGAAAAAAAGAGGCAAGAAGATGGAGCATAGAAGATCATTAAACCCAAGAAAGAATGTTGTTGTAAAAACTCATTTTTCCCCTTGGTGGTCTTAGTTTCCTTCTTTCTTGAACTCTTGGAAACTCTTAAACCGTTTGGATGTTTCTGTTTTACTCGAGGTCGAGTAAAGAACTAAGTGTGGGGGAGTTCATACACTTGTAATTTTCGTGTGTATGTTTATGTTTTTAGCTAGTTTTGGTTGTTTAATATTTCGGAAATTACACACTTTTGGTGTAATAGTTTAGTTTGTTAAATTCTTGTAAATTTTTTAGATTAGGTTTATTCTGAGCTCAAACAGGTCTATTATCACTCAAAGGACGGTTGATGAACCCCAAAAGTGGAAGGAGGGTGCAAAATCACAAGACAAAGGGGAAGATCCTGATTTTTGGTCTATACTCGATCAAGTATCTGTATATACTCGATCGAGTATCTTGTTGAAATTTCAAATCGGATCGGATCCGAAAACAAAGGAACATGCAGGGAAGATTTTGACCACAATCGAATGTCTATACCCGATCGGGTACACCGACATACTCGATCGGGTATGACTATAAATTTTACTCTAATTTCGATCGAGTATGGATCGAATTCGAGTTTCTACACATACTCGATCGAGTATCTGTATATACTCGATCGAGTACCCGAGCTGCACTCCCAAAAAGCCTATAAATACACCCCCTTTCCTTCACAATAGATGACCAATTCACATATACTTCTTAGCTCAGTTTAGACAAGTTCTTTCTTTATATTTTTCATCATGTTTAGTCTCCAAATGAGGAGCTAAACTTTTCCATCTTGGTTTTGCTACTTTGAAGCTTAATGATTTGTAAGTTGTGAGTTATTTTCTTTAATCTTCTTCCTTGAATATTAATTACTTCCTATTCTTATTCCATATTAATATATTGAGCATTACTTAAAGTATCAACTAGTCTTGTTCTATATATTAATTATTACTAGAATCGGTCGGTTAATACGCTTGTTATTAATTCGGTCCTTTCACGGTAGTAAACTTGGGTTGTTAATGCACGCTTCTCATGGTTAATAAGCCAAGGGGAATTAATTATATTGATTAAACCAATAAACCGCTTGTGTTGAGGTTATCAATCTCAATCGTTTTCATCTTGATTTTATTGCTACTATCAAGTTAATATACGGCGCTTGTTCTATATTGACTCGGTAGTAAGTTTTATTAATGAACGCTTCTCGTTATTAATAACTACCCTCGATGAACTGGATATACTCCTCGATTGAGTATTCGAGAGGAAGATAGTTAAAGATATAACCGGGATCGACGAACATTTCATTAAGTGGATAAAAGCAAAGCCAAGTCTTCTTCTCATTAATTAAACCACATAACTCGTTCATCTTCGTGTTTAAATATAATTTAAAGTTCATCAACCCAACATAAACCCCCCTTTTTGTTACTCATTTATTTCTTTAAAAAGAAAAGTATTCCTTTCCCTGTGGATACGAACCTTACTACACTATACTACGTATTAGTGTCGTATTGATTATTATTATTTTGAGTGCATATCACGACAAAGTGCACGTCCGTGGCGGTGGCAGCAGACTTGATAGAGGGTGGTGGGGGTGTCGACTCTTGGGAGCATCGACTCTTGGAGGCTTGGAAACGCATGCGGCACACTTGCGCAGCACAAGGGAATTAATTTTCACCTGCACAACATAGACCCTGCGAACTCTTAATTTTTCATTAAGGGTATTTTTGTCAAATTAGCTCTTTTTAATCCTATTTTTGTCCACATAATTGTCCTAGTTTTACAATACTACCTTCTTTTAATTTAATCTTATTTAGGAAATTCTCTATACAAATAAAAGTAGTAATGCAAAGGCTATTAAAACGTAGATCGATTGTTATTGCATAAGGCCTTGCTTTTATATATGAGATTGGTCGACCTTGACACTACCACGGGAAGAGTATAGTAGTTGGTCTCCCTTGAATTGATGTTTTTGACAAGTTAAATTCAGTAATTCAGGGTCCATTTGGTAAGGGTTGTTTGAATTGTGTTGAAAAGATGTCTAGGAAAATCATAATTTATGATTTACTAATGGATATTTAATGCCCATTAATTAATAGAGTCACAAACTTAATTTATACGAAGTACTCTGTATTAATTATTATTGTGAGGTTTTTTCTTAATATTTAATCATTGAATATTATGTTTAGTGCCTAATTAAGTATGTGACTTAATTGTGAAATGTTACACTTTCTAATTGTTCATGATTTAATATTATTAATTTGGAACATTGATAATTAGTAGTCATGGGTATAGAGATATCAAGTTAATAACATAGATGCTTATTAGTGAACAAGTTCATTGGACAAACTCAACTAACTTGAGGACACTGCTAGCTTATATGTCATCAATGTTGTCCTAAATAATGATGATGTGCTATATTCTTATACTTGAGATAATCATAGTTACTTACATGGGAATTAATGTGTATTAACACCATTAAATGTTATCTTTAGATGAGTAATTATAAAGGTGATGATTGTACATATTATGAACCATGTAGTGATATGTGAATTACAGAGATAGTTTTTGTCACTCTCGTATAGCGAGAGAAAGATATCTATTGGGCCTTTTGACAAGTAAGATTAATCGGCATGGTTATGCTTAAATGAAGTGTCATTTGTTCAAGATTAATCTTACTTGGTAATCAAGAAATATTAATTGAGAATAACAAGGATGACACGACGTAATATCCTTGTCTCGATTAAAATATCGTTTGACAAACGAGAATTATTAGCACAAATTAATCATTGAAAGCTAGATTACGTCAGATAGGAATTATCTTGTCGAAAGAAATGCATTGAGATTTATTCAACCAGATAATTTTTTTTAAGTCCATGGATTGATAAAATTCCTTTTTTCTTGGTATTTATTCAATTCTTTGCTGCACACAAAAGAAATGCATTGAGATTTATTCAACCAGATAAATTACAACTAATACTCTTATATTCCTGATGAAGTGGTGTCTCAAACTTTAATAACACGTATTTCAAAAAAAACTTTCTTTAATGTATCTCATGAATATTACTCAGCTCATAAATTACTTTTTTAATATTTATTCCATGATCGAGTAACTAAGTACATAAATAATGATATAAAAAAGACTTATATTTATGAAAATAAATTGGGTTTTTTACTTAAAATTTAGTTTATAGACAATTTTCATTGAATTTAAGAGTTAAATTGAATTTAGTTTAACAAATACGTAGTATTAAAATGAGGGGGCATATAGTGAGAATGATCAAAAGTGAGGGGGTAACTAATTGATTTTTGAAAATGCAAGGTTGCATTTATAATTATGACATAACCTCAGGGGGTTAATAATAAATTTCTCTAAATAAAATTTACATATTCAGAAACTACTACATTAAAACCGCTACATAATGATATATAAAACAAAAGATTAAAAATGATTTGAGTTAATCATGTGAATAATGGACGAGAACATGAGACGGATCAACATTTTATACATAGTACTACATGATTTTATATAATGAAAGGTTTGTCAGACAAATTAATACTAGTAGCTAGTAGTCCGTAAATAGCTAGAAATAAGGCATGCATGCGTGGTATGGACAAACTGAATCCACAAATTACTAAAGGCCGGTTTGTAATTAAATTCGCGCTCATCCATTCATGTTCTTCGCTTCTTCGTGTGAATTATTCTCACCCAACTCAACTGTATAAATGAGTGGCCGGCCGGAGTATTTATAAGAATGGATCGGAGAAAGATTAAAGCTAGAAACGTTCGTACGTACACATCATATCATATGCAGGTCGATCGAATAGGTAGCTAGGCTAGGTTTCATCCATTGCATCAAAACGTACATTTATATAGCTGATCAGAATACGTACGAACGACGTAGCTAGTTAATTAAGATGGTGATGATGGGCGGGGGCGCTAGAGTGACCGTTGTTGTGGTACTGCTACTTGTTGAGGTTATGTCGGCGGCGGCGGCGGCGAAGGCACCAGCCGCGGCGGCAGCAGCACCGGCAGCGGTAGGGGGAGGAGGAAAATTAGTCGATTCCCCACCCATCCCTTCCACCAAGGCGGACATCGAGAGCTGGTTCTCCTCCAACGTGAAACCGCTGGAGAGTCGAAAGGACAGCCTGGACCCGGCGTTGGTGGCGGCGGAGGCGGACGTGCAGCGCATTAGGGTGAGCCGGGACGGAAAGGGAGACTTCAAGACCATTTCGGACGCCATTAAGAGCATCCCGGCGAAGAACACCAAGCGTTACGTCATCTCCATAGCGGGCGGGAATTACTCGGAGAAGGTGAAGGTTGATTGGAACCAGCCTTTCGTCACCTTGTACGGAGACCCCAAGGACCGGCCCACCATCATTGCTGGTGAAACTGCTGCTAAAGTCGGCACCATCTACAGCGCCACTCTCTATGTCCTCTCCGATTACTTCATAGCCATTAACATCAACATTATGGTACGTACAATATTCATATGGCCACAACTCCCGTACCATAGAATCTACCTGTTCATATACTCTACTTTGAATGCATTCTATTTATTAATGTGTGAATTACTATCTATTATTTTTTGGGAAAACTGTCAAATAGGTCCTCAAACTTTCATAAAAAATCAATTAAGTCTTTCTATAGGAGGTTCTGCACGGCCGTCGCGATTTGGTGCAGTTCCCGGTGGAATTTTTTAATGAAATTTTTTGAGCATCTTATTCACCAAGTCTAGTTTACTCATACCAAATTTCAGCTAAAAATTCAATTGGGAACACATTCAAATTAATTCTTGAAGATAACTGCGCATTTTTGAGTTCTCGAATTAATTTGAATGCGCTCCCGGTTAAATTTTTAGCTGAAATTTGGTATGAGTAAACTAGACTTGGTGAATAAGATGCTAAAAAAATTTCATCAAAAAATTCCACCGGGAACCGCCCCAAATCGCGACGACCGGACAGAGTCTCCTATAGAAGGACTTAATTGACTTTTTTATGAAAGTTCGAGGACCTATTTGACAGTTTTCCCTTATTTTTTTGAAAAATGTTGTTGAATTCGTCTCATTACTAATTAAGTTTCATAATCTCATTTTTATTTATTTTTTACAAATACAAAATTAAATATAATGATGGTCAAAGTTGTGTGTTAGCAAACGTGAAAAATGGAATGTACGTCCCATGCATGCATGCATGCATTCTTATCTAGATTATCGATCTTTAATAAGACTCAATTTTCTAATTAAAAATCGCTCTCTACACGTGCGTGCGTGCATACCTATGATTAATAATTATTATATGCATGCATGGATGCAGAATTCAGCTCCAAGACCGGATGGGTTAAAAACCGGACAACAAGCTGTGGCCCTAACCATAACCGGCGATAAGGCGGCATTCTACAACTGCAAACTGTATGGATTTCAGGACACCCTGTGCGACCACCATAACAAGCATTTCTACAAAGACTGTTACATTGAAGGAACCGTGGATTTCATATTCGGGGATGCCAAGTCCATCTTCCTGAACTCGGAAATACACGTGATCGAGGGGAATCGGATGGCCATGATCACCGCCCACGGCCGGAAAAGTGAGAGCGAGGACACCGGGTTCTCTTTTGTGCATTGCACAGTCACCGGAACCGGGAACACGGCTGTGCTGGGCAGAGGATGGTTTGACTACTCCAAGGTCGTCTTCACCTATACCCAAGTTAGCGACGCCGTTAAGCCTGAGGGCTGGTTGGGATTGCGCAGCGATACCACCAAGGGAGGGTAAGTATATACTATATTCATACATACTTCAATTCCTATATATATTCCCTCATGAATAATATCACTAAATATATATGGAATAGATTAAAAAAGCACTTATTATCACATTTTGACTTAAAAAAACACTTATTTTATTAAACAATACCAACTTTTATTTTTATCGGCTTTCGTGTCAAAAGTGCTTTTACTTTTTCTATTACACAAAAAAACACTTATTTTACCAAACACCACCAACTTTTACTTTTCAAAATCACTTTTCTCTCAAACACTATCAACTTTTATTTAATCACTTCTACCCATTTCATTAGAAAAAGCATTTTTTTAAAGTAGAAGCTGTTGCAAACAGATCCTAAATAAAAGTAAAATTGCATAACTTAATAATGTATCAAATAAATTTCCAAAATAACAATATCTTTCCAATTATCGTTGCTTTTTCTTAATACAAATCACATTTCATCAATAAATAAAATAAAAAGTAATGCGTAGTATCATAACTTTATTTATAATATATATATATATATATATATATGTGTGTGTGTGTGTGTGTGTACAAAAATAAAAAAATAAAAACACGAAAATATATACACAATATTAAATTAAATTAACAAACACCAAAATTAAAATAAAACAAAAACTTAAACAACCTCTCAGCACCACCACCTCAGACCAACGCAACGGGAAAAAATCTCAACATGTGTTCCACAACACATGTCATGTTTTAGAAAGATATACTTCATATAGAGTATACTTTAGTCATGTTTTAGCCTTATCGACACATTTTTTCATTTCAAATATGTAACTTTCGGCTTCACACGCTCAATTGTGTAATAATCAAAATCAGTAAACTTGAAATTACTTTTCTTACAACATTGACTGAAGTTATTGTAGATGACCATTTTAGCTATCTTTTCATATATGTCTTTTTTACTCTATTAATAAAATATATTTTTTCATAAACAATCATCATAATCAGCCAATCCAGACATTTGGATCAACTAGAACTTCATAAATTTCAGCTGTCTTAGCCAATTTAACGGATACCAAATGGGATCTATCTAAAACTTCCTCCTCAAATATAATACTAGTAATTGCCATTATTTACTTCCTAAAATACTACATAACATAATACTGATTCATATTTGTTATAAGAACTGGAGCGGACTAGGCAAGTTGAACAAGAACTTGGTGACCCGAAGCTGAAACCACTCAAGTAGAGAGTATTGAAACACAATTATAGTTATGAGTATGATTATAATTATAATTATGTCATAATAATTATAAACATGTTATAACATTATACTACGCATATAAATATGTCATAATTGTAATTGTAATAATACGAATAATCAACACTCAATTAGATGAGAAAGATTTAAATAGATAAAAAAGATTAGAACACATTAGCTTAGAAAGATTCAGATCATATCACACCAAATAAAAAAAATTCGGATCACATTAGACCAGATCTGATCTAAAAAAAATAGATGAGAAACATAGAGATCATATGTATTTTATGGAAAAATTCCTAGCTTCATATACTAGCTCATGACTCACGTATGTGTGGATGCAGGACAATCTTCTTCGGAGAACACCAGAATACGGGGGCAGGCGCAACAAAGACAGCTCGTCCTTCCTACGTTAAGATGCTCACTGAGACAGAGGTGAAGCCTTTCTTGAGCCTCAACTACATTGAAGGTTCCAAGTGGTTGCTTCCCCCCATCAAACTTTAATTTAAAGCTAAGCTTCACTCCATCGCCAGCCCACTGCACGCCGTCGGTCGTACTAGCTGGCTATATTTAATTAATTAGTTGAATCTTCTTCATTTTAATTTCCCGATTAATAAAAACTTTAATCAAACTTCATTCGCCATTACTCAACCGGTTGTATTAATTAGTGATTTTCCAAAAACTAGTAAAGTTAGTTGTTTCGATTGACTGAGATAATAATGGTCAATGGTGTTGGGAATAACAGGATCTATTACTTTCAAGAATAGAAAGAAGAGACATACAAGTTCTAACTAAAAACTCTCAAAAACAACACCTCACATATCTCTCAAGGATATTCACAACACTCTTGGTTGTGCTATGATGATCTATTCTAATTTTCTTGATGATAGAAAGACTCTCCAAGCTCTCTGATCTATTTATAGTACCAAAACAAGGTAGTATGAAGGTGAGAGTAAGGTGTGATTAAACATGAGGAAACTTCAATGGTGGTTGAGGAAGCTCCCTTTGTCATTCTTGCACATGGAGGAAGCTTCATGGTTGTTGCTTGCACATGTAGGAAGCTTTATGGTTGTTGCAATTGGATTCTTCAATTTGTTGTGCTCGGATATGTCCTGGAAATTGAATTCTTCAATTCTCCCCTTCCAGGCATATTCAAAACAAGCATCCCGACAATGTCTCTGCACAGCTCCAGCTTATCTCGTGTCACCACCTTTGTCAGCATGTCTGATGGATTCTCCTTTGTATTGATCTTCACTAGTCTCAACAGTTGTTGATCAATCGTCTCCCGTATCCAATGATACCGAACATCAATATGCTTTGTACGAGAATGGTACATGGAGTTCTTGCTCAAGTCTAGAGCACTCTGACTGTCACAATGTACCTTGTACTCTTTCTGCTGGATCCCAAGTTCTTGGAGAAAGCGCTTTAGCCACAACATTTCCTTACCAGCTTCAGCGGCAGCAATGTATTCTGCTTCCGTGGTAGATAAAGCGACACACTTCTGCAATCTTGATTGCCAAGAAACAGCTCCCCCCGCAAAAGTGTAGATATATCCAGAAGTAGATTTTCTACTATCAATATCTCCGGCCATATCAGCATCTGTGTAGCCTTCCAGGACTGGATCATCTCCTCCGTAGCAAAGACATAACTTTGTGGTACCTTTCAAGTACCTGAGAATCCATTTGACTGCCTCCCAATGCTCTTTCCCGGGGTTAGAGAGAAAATGACTCACTGTACCCACTGCCTGTGCGATGTCTGGCCTTGTGCATACCATGGCGTACATCAAACTCCCAACTGCTGAAGAATATGGAACTGCTAACATCTCCCCGATCTCTTCCTTGGATGTAGGGCATGTTCTTTTGCTCAACTTGAAGTGATTCGCAAGTGGAACACTTACTGGTTTGGCATCATTCATGTTGAATCTCTCAAGTATTCTTTCAATGTACTTCTCCGGAGATTGCCATAACTTGCGATTCTTCCTGTCTCGAGTAATCTGCGTCCCAAGAAGCTATTGAGTCAGTCCTAAGTCTTTCATATCAAAAGACATAGAGAGTTCTTTCTTCAGATGGTTTATCTTCGCTGCATCTTTTCCAACGATCAACATGTCGTCTACATATAGTAGAAGAGCAATAAAAGTACAGTCTGGAAGTTTCTTGATGTATACACACTCATCTGCAGTAGTCTTCTTGTAGCCTTGACTCTTCATGCACGAGTCAAACTTCTTATTCCACTGCCTTGGTGCTTGCTTCAAGCCATACAAACTTTTGGATAACTTACACACAAAGTTATCATTTGAGTTCTCAAAACCTTCCGGCTGATGCATATAGATTTCTTCTTTCAAATCTCCGTGAAGAAATGTTGTCTTCACATCCATCTGTTCAAGCTCCAAGTTCATACTTGCTGCCAAGCCAAGTATAACTCGGATTGAGGTCATCTTGGCAACTGGTGCAAAGATCTCATCAAAGTCAATTCCCTTCTTCTGCTGGAATCTTTTGACAACCAACCGAGCTTTGTGTTTCACCACTTGTTTGTTTGCATCCTTTTTCAGCTTGAACACCCATTTGTTCCTCAGTGCCTTCTTCCCTTTAGGAAGTTCTACGATCTCATAAGTTTGATTTTTCTGCAGAGATTATAACTCATCATGCATTGCTATTAGCCATTTTTCTTTATCCTTATGAGATACAGCTTCTTGAAAACTCTCTGGTTCTCCATCTTCAGTTAACAAAAGATATTCAGATGATGTGTACCTTGTCGATGGTATATGCCCTCGTTCAGATCTACGAACAGTATGAACCATCAGAGAAGAGCGACCATCATCTGTGTCTGATGAGGTGGGTTGTGTCTCCCTTTGCTCTGCACTCTCTTCTGTCTCCTCGTCTTCTTCTGCTTCTGAGTTATCTTCATGCACTTTGTCCTCTTCTGGTGCTTCATTTAAAACTCTAGCACCCTCATTTGGCTTCCGAGACATTGTGGGTTTTCCAATGTCTTCTATTGTCAAATCTTCTTGGAACACAACGTCCCTACTTCTGAAAACCTTTTTCTCCTTAAGATCCCATAACCTGTATCCGAACTCTTCATTTCCATAGCCAACGAAAATGCATGGGATTGTTCTTGCATCGAGCTTCTGGCTGAGCTCATTGGAGACATGTGCATATGATGAACAACCAAATACTCTAAGACACTACGCCAAAACTGCTCGTTTTCGACACTTCCACTTTTTCAAATTTGACTAGTAAAACCATCAATTCTTTTTTGACTAAGTAAATGCGTCAAAATGGTCGTATTGCAATTTTAGGCGCATGAGTAAAAAAACGTCTCTCTTTTTTTACGGATAGATTAGGTCAAATTTTAACTTTTCAAGAGCCGCTCCCTTATCAATAAAAATTCTGCCCAAACGTCCAATTCCTAAGACTGAAATTTAGAATGAAAATTGAAGTTTCACTCCAAACTTCATGTGCGCGCCAAATGAAAAGCAAAGTCCCTCTTGTCTCAAAAAGTCACTCCAAAATTGAAGTTTCACTCCTAAAATTGCGAGCTGCTTTATAGTTCAGCGTCATCTAAAAAGATTCAAGTGAGAAAGGAGGGAAAGGAGAACGAAGACTGATATCACAACTAGGTACTACGATAGCTAAAAAATATGATCTTTTTGCTTGTTTTTGTTGTTCGTGTTCAATTTATTCAGATAATGTTTAATTTATGGCACGCCTTTTCAAATCTGAACTATTTGTCTAGAACCAGGTTTGCTATTAGATGTTCGTAATCTGTAAATCGATACAGTATAGTTGTCTTTACACAACATCATATATGATTTTATTGTGCACATTAATTGTTTGATAAAAGAACTAATAGAGTAGTGAAGATGAATAACTCTAGATTTGTGGTTTCTTAACATGAAATTATGTTCTATTATTGTTGCGGGACTAAAATATTAAGAGGATTTCTAAACAGACATTGACCTATACATTTGTAACATATTAGAATTTGTATACCTAAAACACTAATATTACCATTTGACTATTAAAAACATGAAATGGTCACATTAAAGTATTAAATCAGTCTCCATTTAAATTCCAGACTTCATTATAACTCAGGTTATTAAATCAAGAATTTTAGTTTTATTAAAATTGTAACTAGTTAATAGTTATGTTGACTATATTTATTAAATCAATAACATGTTTCATTCCAACCCAAATCAGTGTACCTTGTGTAGTTTAAATATGTTAGATGATGAAAATTTGTCCATGGAGTGATATAAACACATCCGAGGAGTCAGGTAATCCATTTATTCACACAATGTCCTTGTTTTATAGTTTTTATAGATTATATATGTTCTATTTTGGATTCTTTTGTTAGGTCTAAAAAAGGAAGTGATGTTCAATGAATATGGGCAGCCAGTAGGTCTAGGATCAAAAAAGTTTTCAACTGCAGTTGGAAAAATTGCAAAGGCACATTGTCCACCCGCAATCAAATCTTGGAAGGATGTCAATTCTACTATCAAGAATATCATATGGAACAATGTTACTGTAAGTAAATTGGTTGAAGTATTTTCCTTATTTAAAAAGGTCTTTGATATATGATGTCTCGTTCTTATTGCAGTATGAGTATTTTGTGCCTGAAATATATTGTAACACCGTCTCCAAATGTATTTACTTTTACGTAAATGATGTAATAAACCTTATGGGATGATTTATGAATTTACGAAGTTGTAAATTTTTATATTTCTTTCGCGTGAATAGTAAATTGCACGTGGGACCCACATCGGGAGCGGGGACCACCCAACATTCCCGAGACCACATATTTTATTCATCTTGGTCAAGATAATATTTATATAGTGGTGGATATTTCATTTGGGCTATGGAAAGGCCCAGAGTTGACCGATTGGTCAAGAGAAGCCCAAATTACCGGTACTGGTAATTTAACAGATAGCAGCCCGAACTGAATTTCGGAGGCTTATAAATTAAAGTTGGGGAATGTACATTCATTATAAGGGTCATAATGATTAAGAACACATAATATATTTTATTTGACGCGATAAAATAAAATATATTTAAAACAGTCCGAAAAATACAACTTTCGGGGCCGATTGTACACTTCGGGACTTAAAGGGATGACCTCCTACATGTGTGGGGGCCAACCCACGAAATTATGCACTCAAGACCCTGTCTTGGACGGCTGAAATGAAAGAGGGGAATGGGGGGTTGTATGGGTTTGAGTTGAGAAGCATCTAAGGACAAAGGTGGGCTCCCATCCCACACTTATTTGTCATTTGAGACAAAAGTGTGTACCCTCCCTCATCCCTATCATCAAGCTCGACCAAGACCTCAAGAAAGGAAGAGGAAAAGCTCTCAAAACCACCTCCATTGTTTCAGCACGAACTCAATAAAGATTGGTCCAAAAAGGAAGATTAAAGAGAGAAAAAGTTGGGAAAAGTGTGAATAATTAAGGTAATGACCTTATTATAACTTTCCCTCTATTTTTCCTTGACAATATAGGATATATATCACATGAAGGACACTTAGTATGGTTCCACATGTTATAAGTATGGATTTATGGGTTGGAAGATGGTTCTATGTCCAAAAACGGACTTAGAAGCCAAAACGACCGGTTCACCGGAAAATAACCTTTTAGAGGTTATTGGTATTAATATGAGTTTTATGATTATAAAACCTTGTTAGACACTTGTAAAGGGTATTTCAAGTGATTTCACAAAGTTGGAAAAGTCGCCGGAGTTGTCGCCGGAATTGACCAAAAGTCGCCGGAGTTTCACCGGAGTTCAACCAAGAAGGGTAGAACTTCATAACGCTAGTTCAAGGTGAGTGGACGGCTTAATATCTTATAACTTTTGGGTTAATTATGAGATTACCTAAATAAATGTTATATGAGTTCATAATGATGTTTAAAAGATATTTAAACATGTGATTAGCCAATAGGGTTAAGTTTGTATGAAAGAAATTAATTGTTGATGCATGGGATATGATATGAAGAATTATATGAAATGCATATTTGTTTGAAGTGTATTAGAAGCACAAATGAATATTATTAACTTAATTATATGATGATTAAGTTGATACACACAAGGCATAAAATGGCGGTCAACGAAAACGTTGACCGATGGACAAAGGATTTAATTAATACCGGTTGGTATTAATTAATTATAAATCTATATAAATGCATGGTTTTGCATGGATTGTGATACATAAACTTTATGTGTTGAATTAGTTATGAGTAACTAAGTATGATATAGACTCTATCTAGGTTGATAGAAGGTTGATCATAGGAGAATATTTTGGTGGAGGACCCTAGTACTTAAAAGTACTTAACACTCAAAATTTGGTGGAGGACCCTAGGACTTAAAAGTCCTTAACACTCGGATTATAAATTGGTGGAGGACCCTAGGACTTAAAGTCCTTAACACTCGGATTATAAATTGGTGGAGGACCCTAGTACTTAAAAGTACTTAACACTCAAAACTTGGTGGAGGACCCTAGTACTTAAAAGTACTTAACACTCAAAACTTGGTGGAGGACCCTAGGACTTATGAGTCCTTAACACTCACAAACCGGAGGAGTACCCAAGGATTATGATCCTCAAAACTCATAGATTATGATATTGAAATAGGGACAAGGAGGAGTCATATACACTCATAGGTATATGGGTGGGTTGGGGTTTTTAGTCAAGAATATTGACTATTACTATTTTTCCCAAATAAAACGGTGATCTACGGATCAGATATTTTCCAAGTATATATATACTAATAAGTATTTCATAACTTGGGGGAAAGACTATTTATTTAAGTATCACTCTATGTTTGGGTCTTATACTTGAAACGCTAGTTATTCTATATTTAGCCTGCTACTCGCTCGGTACTTGTACTGACCCCTTCGGGGGGGCCCACCATTTTCAGGTTGAAGCTAGGGCTTGCTACTTGCACCTCCTCACGGGTGATATCATATCGGGAAGACGTGGTTCGTGCTTTCCTTATTTTCTTTCAAACTACCGAACACTTGCTCATGGATATTTGTTTTACTATAAACTATTTTTGGGGCTTGCATGCCCATGTTGTTGGCCGGTTGTGGCTCATGACTTACCGTTGAATATTTCCGCTATTCATTGGTTTAAATGTGATGTTGTTATGTATGTTTACTACTGAGTATGGATGGATTGTTTTCTAGAACGCCTTGTGTAATTAAGTGAGGTTGACTCGTGGGTGACGTCACTTGATTAAACGGCGGTTGTACACGCGCTTGGATTGCGGTCTGGGGCGTGACAATTAAGTGGTATCAGAGCCATCTCAGTTCTAAACTATATAATCAACCTCTCACAAAAGATTTTACAAAAGAGTTTTACCGAAAACCATGAGCATTGTATTTTGACGTTTATAGGACTATTGGTGCTTGAGTTGCAAGGCCTCTAACTGTTAAGACGGTACCCTTAACAATTGGTATGGTGGTGACTTGGGCCAATACGTGTCTATAACGTTCTTCCGTCAATTGACATTTATAGGAGTCTAATGACTCATCCATATTTCTTTCAGAAATGGAGGGCAGGCGAATGGCAACCAGGAACAATCCGAGGGGGCAGGCGCCGGTAGCATCCCAAAGGGGAAGTCGGGCTGCATCTCGGGGTTCAAGAGGAGGCCGTGGAGGCCGTGGAGGTCATAGGGCTCAGACTGTGAGCGACGGCCATGTTAGTTCAGTGTATGAAACCAACACCGAAGACTACGACTCTACATATGTTCCGGAAACGGAGCATGAGGAGACCCCATATGATGGGGGTGACACGTACACTGACGATGATGATGAAGAGAGTGATGCCAAGTTCGCCCAAATGGGCGAATTACTCGAGTGGTATCAAAAAGAGAAACTGAGGAGAGACCTTAGGCGCCAAGCAAGGCGTGGCTCTCGTGGTGGTTCGGGTCAAGGAAGCCGGGGGAGCTTCAAGGGCCACTCCCGTGGCGTCACATGACGGGCGTGAAGGAGGTTTTTGTGTGAGAATCTCCAAGTACCTCAAGGAGGCTAGGGCCTTGGGGTGTAAGTCCTTTGACGGCTGATATTCGTGTAATTTCTGATTGTATGTTTGTATTTTTAACTAGTTTTTATTAGTTCTAGTTGTGGAAATTACACACTTTTGGTGTAATATTTTATTTTCATTTTTATTTGTAATTTGTTTAGATTAGGATTATTTTGAGCTAAACAGGTCAAAGATCATCCAAGGGATCAAGATTGGACCTTAAAAGATCAAGGAAAGTGCAAGGAGACAAGAGAGATTTCGATTTGGAAAAAGTACTCATGTACCCGATCGGGTATTGCCTATACCCGATCGGGTATTCGCTTGATTCGATTGTCCAAATCAAATCCGGGAACAAATAATCGTGGGAGCAAATTTTCGTGAAGATTTGTCACATACCCGATCGGGTATGCCGACATACCCGATCGGGTATGCCCAGAAAAGTGACTTTCTGGGCAATTTCCTAAGATACCCGATCGGGTATCCTATATACCCGATCGGGTATCAGACCCTGTAGCTCCCAAAAGCCTATAAATACACCCCTTTCCTTCACAATAAAAACACCAATTCACATATACTCTTTAGCTCAGTTTAGATTAGTGTTTTCTTTATATTTTCTATCATGTTTAGTCTCCAAATGAGGAGCTAAACTCTTCCATCTTGGTTTTGCTACTTTGAAGCTTAATGAATTTGTAAGTTGTGAGTTATTCTCTTTAATCTTCTTCCTTGAATATTAATTCTTCCTTTAAATACTATTTCTATATCAATGTTGGGGAGTGTTACTAAGATGACAATTAGTTAACATCTTGACATTAGTTATAGTAATAGCTATTTCTTCCTCTATGTTAATATTGGGGAGTGTTACTAAGATGACAATTAGTTAACATCTTGATATTAACTATAGTGGGATTCATCTTCTTTAATATTCTTCCTTGAGTATTAATTAATTCCTATTCATATTTCATATTAATATTTTGAACATTACTTAAAGGATCAACTAGTTTTGTTTCATATATTAATTAATACTAGAATCGGTCGATTAATACGCTTGTTATTAATTCGGTCCTTTCACGGTAGTAAACTTGGATTATTAATGCATGCATCTCATGGTCAATAATCTAAGGGGAATTAATTACATTGATTAACCAACAAACCGCTTGTGTTGAGGTTATCAATCTCAATCGTTTTCATCTTAAGTTTATTGCTACTATCAAGTTAATATACGGCGCTTGTTCTATATTGACTCGATAGTAAGTTTTATTAATGAACGCATCTCGTTATTAATAACTACCCTCGATGAACTGGATATACTCCTCGATTGAGTATTCGAGAGGAAGATAGTTAAAGATATAACCGGGATCGACAAACATTTCATTAAGTGGATAAAAGCAAAACCAAGTCTTCTTCTTATTTATTAAACCACATAACTCGTTCATCTTCGTGTTCAATTTTAATTAAATCATTCAATCAAAACCCCCCTTTATTTATTAGTTACATAAAAAGAGAATTATTCCTTTCCCTGTGGATACGAACCTTACTTCGCTATACTACGTATTAGTGTCGTATTGTATTATTATTTTGAGTGCACCTCACGACAAGTGCACGTCAAATTTGGCGCCGTTGCCGGGGAAAGGCAATTATTTTTCTTTTTATTTTATCTCATAAAAAAAAAAAAAAATCTTAGTTTTCTATTTTCTGAGCTTTCATGAGTATATGGATACCAACACATCATCCTTAGAGAGTCAAATTTCCGACTTGACTTCTCTAATAAAGGAATTTATTTCATGTTCAAAATCTCAAGATGTCCATACATGCAACATTTGCATGTCACACAGGCATCTTACGGATTTTTGCCCAGAGCTTCAAAAAGAATACTTTGAACAAAGGAATGATGTTGGTTTCCAAGAGAGGTATGATTCATTCTCCAACACATATAACCCATACTCAAGTTCTTATTCCAGCATGTCCACTGAAGACATGATCCGAGCTCTCACTATCAATGTGACGAATATGCAACAAAATATGTCACAATGCCCGCAAGAAACAGTGTCCAACGAACAGAACTTGGACAATCAGTTGAAACAAATGCCAAGCATTGTGAACCACATGGGCGAGGAGGAAGAAGAGGAGCTTACGGAGAAAGCTCAACCGGAGGAGGAACCTCAAAACTCAACTCCACCACCGGCCATTCCTGAAATCATGCCACCATTTCCTGAGACTCTAAGGGAAACACAAAGGGTGGAGAACGACAAAGACATCTACGAAATCTTCAGCAATTGTGAGTATCATTTAGATTTCTCTTCGTTCACAAATATGCAGGGAATAACGGTGGAGTTACGCAAACATTTCATACTCCCTCTTATACCACCCAGATCAAAACCCCTTCGATTGACCATGCTAAGTGAAAATCATGGACCCTCACTCTTACAATATGAAGTGATAGAAATCCGGATATTTGATCCTGGAAAGATTGTCAAAATAAAGGGTCGACAAATTGAGCCTTTCTATAAGAGTCACTCGGGTGAAAATGTGAAGAAGAGGGATCATCACGATCCAAGCCTAAACGACTGAAATTAAAAAAGATGGTGTCGTGCCACGACGTTAAATAAGGCGCTTTTTGGGAGGCAACCCAAGTGAGGTACATCATTGTGTGTTTATTTTATTTTTTTATTTTTCTTTCCCCTACACAACCTCCTTTTCACCTCTTTTCATCTTTAATCTTTCAAACCACCATCCAATTCCACCCCAATCACCCCAACCATCATAACCATATCCTTCTTTTTTTAAAATCTATCCAAATCCTCCACCAAACCCCACACACAAAACAATCATAATCTTGTTCTCATCACTTTCCTCTTACTCCACATACCCTCTAATCCATAAACTCTTACACTCATCCCTCTCCCAAACCACAATTTTATATCTTCAAAAAAAAACCAAAAAAAAAAGTGATGGCGATAACGAGCACTAGAGACAGTGCTCCAAGCTAAGTGAGGGGGAGTCACTCATTGATACGCAATTCATTTTTCTACCTTGTAACTTGCATTATTTTCTTCACAAAAAAAAAAAAAAAAAAGAAGAGAAATGCTAGTTAGGTTGAAAACCCAAAAATGGGCAATCTAAGCAAAAAGGGCTTATAAAAAAAATGAGTGAGTTGGAAAGGATGGAAAAACAAAAAGAGATGCTAGGATGAAAACCTGAAAAGGCTCCTAGGCAAAATGAGAGATATGAGAGATATATTTGTTTTTGCAGAACATCATTTAATCTCTTGACGGAAAATAAGAATAAAAGAGGTGAAGAAAAAAATGAGCATAGAAGGCCATGAAACCCAAGAAGATGTTTTTTTTATTGAGCTAAAAACTCAATGTAAAAAAACATGTTTTATCCTTGGTGGTCTTTTGCTTTTTCTTGTTGATTGTTGAACTTTTGAGGATTTGGAAGTGTTAAACATTTGACTTTACTCGAGGACGAGTAAAGAAGCTAAGTGTGGGGGAGTTGATATTCGTGTAATTTCTGATTGTATGTTTGTATTTTTAACTAGTTTTTATTAGTTCTAGTTGTGGAAATTACACACTTTTGGTGTAATATTTTATTTTCATTTTTATTTGTAATTTGTTTAGATTAGGATTATTTTGAGCTAAACAGGTCAAAGATCATCCAAGGGATCAAGATTGGACCTTAAAAGATCAAGGAAAGTGCAAGGAGACAAGAAAGATTTTGATTTGGAAAAAGTACTCATGTACCCGATCGGGTATTGCCTATACCCGATCGGGTATTCGCTTGATTCGATTGTCCAAATCAAATCCGGGAACAAATAATCGTGGGAGCAAATTTTCGTGAAGATTTGTCACATACCCGATCGGGTATGCCGACATACCCGATCGGGTATGCCCAGAAAAGTGACTTTCTGGGCAATTTCCTAAGATACCCGATCGGGTATCCTATATACCCGATCGGGTATCAGACCCTGTAGCTCCCAAAAGCCTATAAATACACCCCTTTCCTTCACAATAAAAACACCAATTCACATATACTCTTTAGCTCAGTTTAGATTAGTGTTTTCTTTATATTTTCTATCATGTTTAGTCTCCAAATGAGGAGCTAAACTCTTCCATCTTGGTTTTGCTACTTTGAAGCTTAATGAATTTGTAAGTTGTGAGTTATTCTCTTTAATCTTCTTCCTTGAATATTAATTCTTCCTTTAAATACTATTTCTATATCAATGTTGGGGAGTGTTACTAAGATGACAATTAGTTAACATCTTGACATTAGTTATAGTAATAGCTATTTCTTCCTCTATGTTAATATTGGGGAGTGTTACTAAGATGACAATTAGTTAACATCTTGATATTAACTATAGTGGGATTCATCTTCTTTAATATTCTTCCTTGAGTATTAATTAATTCCTATTCATATTTCATATTAATATTTTGAACATTACTTAAAGGATCAACTAGTTTTGTTTCATATATTAATTAATACTAGAATCGGTCGATTAATACGCTTGTTATTAATTCGGTCCTTTCACGGTAGTAAACTTGGATTATTAATGCATGCATCTCATGGTCAATAATCTAAGGGGAATTAATTACATTGATTAACCAACAAACCGCTTGTGTTGAGGTTATCAATCTCAATCGTTTTCATCTTAAGTTTATTGCTACTATCAAGTTAATATACGGCGCTTGTTCTATATTGACTCGATAGTAAGTTTTATTAATGAACGCATCTCGTTATTAATAACTACCCTCGATGAACTGGATATACTCCTCGATTGAGTATTCGAGAGGAAGATAGTTAAAGATATAACCGGGATCGACAAACATTTCATTAAGTGGATAAAAGCAAAGCCAAGTCTTCTTCTTATTTATTAAACCACATAACTCGTTCATCTTCGTGTTCAATTTTAATTAAATCATTCAATCAAAACCCCCCTTTATTTATTAGTTACATAAAAAGAGAATTATTCCTTTCCCTGTGGATACGAACCTTACTTCGCTATACTACGTATTAGTGTCGTATTGTATTATTATTTTGAGTGCACCTCACGACAAGTGCACGTCAACGGCACCGGTGACATTACCGTTGTCGCCGATTGGATAAAGAAGGTGAAGGATGCGGCAAAGGACATGCAAATTTCACCCGACGTGAAGTTGACTGTTGCTTCACGGCTGCTTGAGGGGATAGCT